GAGATGATGTGTGTGTGTGTTGTTTATATTTTTGCTTTGTTCAGCATAAATGTTTTGTGCTTGTACATTTTCCAAAGATATTTTAAGCCATTCTGAGTCAGCAGCACCTTGCACGTGGCTAAATGGCATTTGGGGGGGGAGCAGTGATTGTATATGTCTTCACGGTTCTAGAACTAACTCAATTCTAGTATTGCTACAGAAAAAATATTATAAACGTGAAATGCTATAAGAGAAATTCTATCCCCAAAATATTGGTAGCATGAAACATGCTAAATTTCTGGTCTAATATGCCAGGAGTCCTTACTGAGCAATAACAAGTACTTACTTGAATTAGAGGGCCAGGACTCCCGGTATTCACTACCTGCTTGAGTTCTGGGTGACTTGCCCCGAACCTGGGGAGTCACACAAAAATCACAAGAGTTATTATGATCAATGGGAGAACTTAACCAAGAAATTTAAATCATAAAAGTGTACCCTAAAATATATACTTTTCTACCACCTCTTCTTCCACAGTACAAAAATTGAATATACGTACCCTAACAATAATAATGTACATTTATAAAAGGCTTTCTAGTTTCCAATGCATTTTCTTTCTTTCTTTTTTTTTTTCCTAAGTCAGATTTTAGTTTAATTCCCAGTGCATTTTTCACATATTTTCTCATCTAATGCCAAGCTCATTCAGGCGAAATGGGGAGAGGAATAAGCAGTAGAGACCCTATGGGATCAAGAACTACAATTACTTAGACAGTTACACATTTGCTGGGAGCAAGAGTTATGCACTCCTTCCCTGGACTGTCTTCCATGATGAATAGGCAGCACCACTGAGAGGAAAACTGAAGAGGAAAGCAATTATAACCTTCAGCAGGGTTTTCATCTAAATTAAAATCCAAAAAAACCAAGCTTCCTCAGGAGCCTGCCTAAGAGACACACCGTAACAAGAGTTTACCTTTCTTTCTTGTTTCTTCTGTGCTTCCAGGACATGCAGGCGCTCCATGAGGCTAGAGATGCCCTGCTCCAAGCTGTCAATGGTGTGGTGCTGAGGATCATGGCCACTGAAGCTGTTGCGCAGGCTGCGGAGAGCATCTCGAACAAGCTGCAGGTCACTAGTCTGTGGGTAAAAATAAGGTGCTGTTGGCATGGTGAAGTGCCATATTATTAACCATGTCCCAACTGCTGACCTTGAGAAGATAAAGGAGAGAGGATTCCAGAATAGATCTTTCATTTTTGTGGAGCTGTGAACTGTAGGAAATTCTCCTCTGCAGAAGCAGGGCTACTGTATGCCCACTCATTCTTAATTTTTGATAGCAAGTGCTTCATACCTTTACACACACAACAGATGCAAAAATTAGGGACCTAGAATATAAAAGGCCTAGTCTACTGGCAATGGCTGAGCCACTCTTCTGATTTCAGCTAGAAGTGTCAGGGCTATATTCAAATCCTAGGAACCTACCCCTCTGTGGGTGATTGAAGAAGCTCCTTTTCCTGCCGTTGGAAGGAGAAAACCATTGCTTTGAGAGTTGTGACTGTTGTAATTGGTCACCTATATCAGGAAGAAAAGATGCTTGTTAAAGGGAGAAATCTAAACCAAGACGTCCCGTCTTACTTTTCTTCTCTACATTTATCACTTCCTATCATAGTATATGTCATAGTATATAATTATTTGTTTAATGGCTCTCTGTATTAAAATGTAAGCTTTATAAGTGTTTATTTTTTCCCTTTTGTCCACTGCTGTATCCCTAGCACTTGATACTTAATAGGCATTGCTGAATGTAGAATGAACTTTGTTTCCATAATAAAAAAAGAGCAACTAATAATTTTTGAGCCTGACTGTGCCAGGTGGATGTAACTGGACTGTATTTAGTTATTAATGTGATTTATGTATTCTTCATAATGACAACAAAGGCCACTATTATTTCCATTTTCCAGATGAGCCTTATTTCTAAAGCTCAGAAGCTAAGCTACTTAAGGTCACAAAGTGTAAAAGCAGTAAAGCTGGAATCTGAAACCGTATTTTCTTATCCTAGAACCTGTACTCTTAACCCCCTCACCATACAGCCTCCTAACAAACCAGCCTGTGCTACTGGTTCAGTTCTGGGTCAAAAACAGAATCTCTCTCTTTGCCTCACAAATGTGGGAGGGAGAACCCAAGTTCTAGGTTACCTCATCTGCCTCTCTGTTCATACAGTGAGCCAAAAGGACATCTTTGTGTTCTAGTTCCCATTCCACATCCACCTGCAAAAAAGAGACTAAATCAGAAAAGGATTTCTTCAGGCCAAAGGGGCAGGGAATTCAGTGGCTGAATATGTTCTGACCTGCTGGTAACTGGCATCAGAGAGTTTCCGGAGTGCCTCTTCCAACCTGGCCTGGTGCTGCTGAAGAAGGCGATCCTTCTGCCCAAGCTCCTTCTGCAACAGAGACAGCTTTCAGATGTATGACAAAACCAAGGACATTGGAAAGTTCACTCTCTCCTATGCAGTTTCCACCCGAGTAAAGTAGAACCTCAGGGGAACAGTCCCTTCCTCAAGCTATACCAGGAAGACTTTACACACTACAATGGTCTTACACAGTGTATAGTGGATTGAATTATGTCCCCCCCAAACTCACTGAAGCTTGAATTGTATCCTCCACGTTTTATGTATAGAAACTTAGCCCCAACTGGGACTGTTAAGAGGGTGGGAAATCATATTATGGTAATTGAAAGGTGGAGCCTTGAAGAGTTGATTGCATTGTAGGAACGTACAGTGAATGGATTAAAAATTGTGGTCGGGGCGTGGTTCTGAGGGCTTTAAAAGAAGAGAGAGGAGAGTCTATCTATCAAAGTTCAGTGAACTTTGTTATAAGCAACAAAAACAGACAAATACAGAAATTGGTAACAGGAGTGGGGTGTTGCTATGCAAATACTTAGAAATGTGGAAGTGGCTTTGGAACTGGGTGTTAGGCAAAGGTTGGAGGAGTTTGGAGGACTCAGAAGAAGACAAAGAGACAGGGAAAGTTTGGAATGTCTTAGAGACTGGTTACATGGTGGCAAGCAGAATGCTGATAGAAATACAGACTGTAAAGACCATTCTAAGGAGGTCTCAGATAGAAGTAAGGAGTTTACTGGAAACTGCAGCAAAGATCACCCTTGCTGTGAACTGGCAAGGAACTTGGCTCCATTGTGTCCACACCCTAGGACTTTGTAGAAGTTGGAACTTAGGAGTTGTGAACCAGAGTACTTGGCAGAAGTGAGAGCAGGACTGCCATGGAGACCCCGGAATTGTGGAACTCCATCCTGGGAGAGCTGAAGTGTGGCCAGAGACCAGGAAAGCTATAGGAGTGGAGCTGCCCAAGTACTTGGGGAACCAACCCCCACACCAGCATGCAGAGGACATAGAACATGGAGTGAAGGTACCTGATTCACCAACCTTGAGATTTAATGCCTGCCCTGCTGGGTTTTGGACTTGTTTGGGACCTGTTATACCTTTCTTTTGGCCTGTTTCTCCCTTTTGGAATGGGAGTATGTACCCTATGTTTGTTCCACCATTGTATATTGAAAGTAGATAACTTGTATAGATTTCACAGATGGGACTTTGAACTTTTGGACTTTTGAGTTGAAACAGGTTAAGACTTTGGGGATAAAATGAATGTATTTGTATATGAAAAGGACAAGAGTTTTGGGGGGCCAGGGGTGGAATGTAGTGGGTTGAATTATGTCCCCTCAAAACTCATTGAAGCTTGAGGGCCGGCCCGGTGGCACACTGGAGAGTGCGCCGCTTGGGAGTGCGGCAGCGCTCCCGCCGAGGGTTCGGATCCCATGTGGAGACCGATTCCCGCTTATTGGCTGAGTGCGGTGCGGGCGCAACACCGAGGGTTGCGATCCCATTGCCGGTCCCCGGTATGGGCGCGACACTGAGGGTTGCGATCCCGTTACTGGTCAGTAAAAAAGACAAAAAGGGAAAGAAAAAAAAAAAAAAAAACTCATTGAAGCTTGAATTGTATCCCTCACGTTTTATGTGTTAGAAACTTAGCCCCCACTGTGACTGTTAGGAGGGTGGGAAATCCTATTATGGTAATTGAAAGGTGGAACCTTGAAGAGGTGATTGCATTGTGGGATTGTGCAGTAATGAATGGATTAAAAATGGCGGTCAGGGCCTGGTTCTGAGGGCTTTAAAAGAAGAGAGAGGAGAGTGTGTGTCTCTTTCTCTCTCTCTCTCTGCTTCCACAGTGAGACCACTGGGTCACTATTGCCACCACCAGGTGGACTTTATTTAAAAGAAGAGAGAGGAGAGTGTGTGTCTCTTTCTCTTTCTCTCTCTCTGCTTCCACAGTGAGACCACTGGGTCACTATTGCCACCACCAGGTGGACTTTGGACTTTCCAGCCTCAGAAACTGTAAGCAAATAAATGTCATTTTCTTTATAAATCACCCAGTTCAGTGTACTTTGTTATAAGCAACAAAAACGGACTAATACACATCGCAAAGGATTCTTGGAAGAGTAAAGAGGAAGGGAACTACCATTTGTAGGGGGACCACTATGTACCATTCATGCTAGTTAGAGATAAAGGTAAGACTAGAACTGAAGTTTCCAGACTCTTAGTTCTGTGCTCCTTCTCCAACTGGTGCTATCTGTTCTTCAGGGCCAGTGAATCAAAGGACATAGGAAAAGATTTCCTTCCAGAAAGCAAGGATGAGCAACAGCAACAATGAGCTGTTCATAAAAGGTCAGATGCAAGTTATTTACAAACCAATGTTCATTCTTTGGGGGTTTTTTTTGTTGTTGTTGTTGTTGTTTGTTTTTTTGGCAGCTCGCTGGTATAGGGCTCAAACCCTGGACCTTGATGTTATCAGCACCACACTTTAACCAACTGAACTAACTGGTCAGCCCCCATATCAATATTCATTCTTACTTTATATTCTCCCAAGAGCCAGTTCCTTTCATCTAGCTTCCTCTGCAGATCCACCTGCAAGGATAAGAAATAATTCACTGGAAAGGAGGTATTGTCTTCCAATCCTCAAAGAAACTGGTTACTTAGTAACCAGAGTTAATGTTGGCAATTACAGTTTGCAGCAAAGAGAGGGCATGGTTATTGTAAAAACCCACAGCTTCTCTCCATTTCTTTAGTGAGATAATCAGACTGTAGAACCATAATTTAGCCTCAGCATCTCAGTGTCCTCAATCTTGTAGAAGGTCTCGAGGACCTTCCTGCCCAGTGTGGTGTGGGTTTTCACCTAGGAACAGAGATGAGTCTGATAGGGAATAAAAATAACTGCAGACTCTGAGGGTAGGCATCCCAAAAGCAAACCAAGAGAGATTAGAATGGCAGATGTAACAGCACTTCATGCACTATCCTATTCTGCTAGTGAGGCTCAGTGAGGTTCATTCATTTAACTCACGTTCTGGTTGTGCAGCTCATCTTTGTCCATATTTGCCCTCAGTAGTTCTTGTTTGAGCTGAAGAACAGATGTATCCTGCTGAGTCAATCTCTGTTGCAAGGCATCCTGGGGAAAAAAGCATACTAATTATTGTGGTATCAATTGTTCGATCAGCCAGTTATTACTAAAAGTTACTAAACCCTTTACTATGTATCCAGTATTGATTCTGCCAAACTGAGAGACATAACAGTCTTGCCACATGGGGCTAAGCAGAGGTATTTTGTCCGCCTTCAGGATCTAAAGAAAAATCCTATCCACTGTCCTATCAAGCTGGCTGAAACCTGATTTTTCTTCCACCTACTCAGTCCTACCCTGTACTTCACTCCTGACAACATGCTGTCCTAGAGAGAGAATGAGTGGCTCTGGGGATCAGATAGACCTAGATTCAAATTACAAGTCTACCATTTACTACTTCTGTGACACTGACCTTGGATGATACACTCTCCTTCTCCCACCGTGGGAGAAGGCTTTCTCATCTATATCTTGGGCATATAAATACTCAATCTAGATGAGGTCTTTTTCCTTCTACTTCTCTGCCCAGACCCCATTTCCTATAGGGATGGATCCTATCCCCGCCCACCACTCTGTTCAGACAGGATCCCTAGAATCACTCCACTCTGGCTTCTGGAGCCTTACTGCTTTCCTGCTTCCACTGACTTCCAATGCCTAGTCTGGATCAGATTGGGATTACATTTCCACTGCTCAGAACTGATGATTCCTCTTCCCAATGTGCTAGGATCTCACCAGCTTTAGGCTATTTTTCCCTCAGCTAAGACGCTCTTGGTCCCTACCGTGCCTAAGAAAAGGTGGGCTGGATACACTTACTTATAAGAGTCAGCTATCACACGTTCCTCCAACCATGGTGTCTTCAAATGGAACTAATGAATTGGGGCTGCATTCCAGTATACTTGTCCTGACTTTTCTCTCTTTACAGACTGCAAAGAAATGGTGAAGGCTCTGGAGAATGTGGGAGCCCATTTTTAATAATGTTCCCAGCCATGACAGTACATGGCAAAGGTAGTCTAAAAAACGTCCCTGGTGGGCCGAGCCCGTGGCGTACTCAGGAGAGTGCGGCGCTGGGAGCGCAACAGCGCTCCCGCCGTGGGTTCGGATCCTATATAGGGATGACCGATGCGCTCACAGCGCTCACTGGCTGAGCGCAGTGCGGCCGGTCTCAAAAAGGACAAAATAAATAAATAAATAAAACGTCCCTGGCATAAGTCGGTTAGAGGAACCTTTCCCAAAGTGTGCTACATGGGATGTGAATGAGTTGTGGGCAAAAAGGCTCTTCTGTGGTTGTCCCTGGCATTAGTCGGTTAGAGGAACATTTCCCAAAGTGTGCTACATGGGATGTGAATGAGTTGTGGGCAAAAAGGCTCTTCTGTGGTTAATAATTCTAAACTTTTTTTAAGCCAACCTCTTTATGACATACCTTCTCAGATCCTTTAATATGCTATTATTCACTGTGAATCTTCAAGCCTGTAGAGCATTTCTCAAACAGATTTGACTATGTAACATGTTTGTTTTTTGAAGTATTTCAAAGCACTAAGGCCACAGAATATACTTTAAAAAGTGCTGCTGAGTTACATTCTAGTCTAGCTTATAAGTGTGTGTGCAGGAAAGAGAGGAAAAGCAGCAGCTTAAGAACATCCTTTTCACTTCTAGGTATTTATTCAGCAGATATACTCCCACTTGGGTGAAATAACATATATTCAAGGTTATTAGCTAGATCACTGTTTGTATTGGCAAAAAATTGGAAATAATCTAAACTCCCATCAATAGGAGACTGATTAAATAAACTATCATACATACATATACTGAAACACTATGCAGTCATAAAAAAAAAAAAAAAGACCTAGACTGACTGGCCAGTTACCTCAGTTGGTTACAGCATGGTGTTATAACACCAAGGTCAAGGATTCAGATCACCATACTGGCCAGCCACAAAAAATAAAAAGACCTAGGAACATCTTTATGTATTGAAATAGAATGATCTCCAAGATATATTGCTAAATGAAAAAGCAAGATGTCAGGTTGTATTTGCAATATACTACTATTTGGGTAAATGTGGGGGGGGGGTAATGTATATATATTATTTACTGGTAACTGGTAAGTTTCCTCTAGGAGAGAGAACTAGGTGAGTGGAGGGACAGGGCTAGTAGGCAGACTTTCCACAGTTTATCCTTTCATACCTTTAAACCATATGAATGTTAGTAACTACTCAAAAACTAAGTAAATTACAATTTTCTAAAAAAGGATATTCTTTCAAACTGAAGAAGAGTATTTTATACATAGAGACAATCAAGGTGGCAGAGAGATAAGTTGCAGCACCATGAGTCATAACTACAAGAAATAAGCTTCAGCAAAGCAAAGGTATATTCCTCCACATGTCTCACTTCCCCTTCTTTTTTTTTTTTTTTACCTTTTTGTCTTTTTTCGTGGCCGGCAACGGGATCGCAACCCTCGGTGTCGCACCCGCACCGCGCTCAACCAGTGAGCGGACCGGTCTCTATATGGGATCCGAACCCTCGGCATCACAACCCTCGGTGTTGCGCCCGCACTGCGCTCAGCCAGTGAGCTACCGAGTGCGCCACTGGGCTGGCCCTCACTTCCCCTTTTTTACCAAAGCCTTTTCTTTACCACTAGCACAAGTCTGTTAAAGGCCTCCAGCAAATCCCAACTATCCTTAGTACCCAACTCTCACCGCTCACCAATAGACTACTTTATCTAGTAGAGATTTTATTTAAAGCATTAGATATCTTCCTTTTTACCTTTATGCCTTGTAAGTTTCTGGCTTCTTGTTTACATTTCAGCAGCTCCTTCTGCAAACCAAATATAGTTAGATCAGATGGTGGCATCTGGGTTGCTTCAGAAGCGTTACCTCATTCTGTCAGCAAGAAGACAAAACCTAGTTTACTATTCCACAAAAAATGAACCTTCTACTCAGGCAGAAAGCAGGTGTGGTCTAGTAAGCAGTAAAGGCTGACCCATAGAAGCAAGAACAGGACCCATTCCATCCTTCTCTGTGGCACCCAGGCTCAACTGCCCAGGTAGACAAGAGTCTTGACAAGAAAGAAGATACCCTGTATATTCCCATAGGCTCTCATATCTATATTTAGCAATCTGTATCAATGAGAACACCTAATCATAATCATCTTAATGCCTTTGACTGAAATGTATGAGCATATCTAAATATGCCTACCCCCCATGTCATTAATTATCTCAGCTCTTAATGTTCAACAAAGGGTACTTCTGATTCTCTAAGAGGTACTGTTTTTTTGTGGTCCAAACAAAAACACATTTCGTCTAATCATAAAATACTAAGTAACTAATCATATCTTGCAATAAGTTATATATATATATATATATATATATATATGATTGTCACTGCGAAAGAGATTTTAGAAAGGGAACACACCCATAACCCAGACTCCACTCTCTTCTTTTTCTATTACATCACATACTTTTTATTAAAATGGGGATTCTTAACCTGGACTCCACAGATATACTCAAAAGTTACCCTATTAAAAATTGAGGTCTGAGAGTATGTGTGCATGCACACATACATTTCTGGGGAAAGGGTTAATAGCTTTAGTTGTATACCTATGATTTTAAAAAAGCCAAGAACCACTGACCTAAAAGAATTCTGGGAAGTATTCATAAAAAAAGACCACACTGATATTAGATCCATTTTTTCTTTTAATTGAAAAAGAAAAACTATGGGCCGGCCCGTGGCTCACTCGGGAGAGTGCGGTGCTGATAACACCAAGGCCCCGGGTTCGGATCCCATATCGGGATGGCCACTGGCTGAGCGTGGTGCTGACAACACCAAGTCAAGGGTTAAGATCCCCTTACCGGTCATCTTTTTTAAAAAAAAAAAAAGAAAGAAAAAGAAAAAGAAAAACTATGAAATATTTCAAATATATGGAAAGATACAACCAATTATAACATAGATAACTATTACTCACCACCAAGATTAAAAAGGTGCTATCTTTTTTACATATCTGGGATGTATCTCTTTCAATTAAAGATATAACATACATACAGATACAGCTAACATCCCAATTCTGCATCCCTTTCCCTCCCCATATTACTGTCCTGAAGTTGGTATGTAACATTCTTATAATTTTTTTTCAAAGAGTAAAATGTACATGTCCTGACATACCTTTAGGTCCTTATTCTCCTCCATACTCTGATCCAGACGACTTTGAATTATAATCTGAATATAAGACAAAAAGAGATGTTTATGAACTTCACGCCTATGTTGTGAAGTTCAGAGGCCATTCAGTCAACAAATATTTACTGAGCATCTACTAGATTCCAACTCTGTACTATGGATACAAAGAACAGGAAACAGTTCCTGCTGTCTGTTGGAAGCATATGCCCAAGGTGCAGCAAGTAGATCAATACAAAGTTTAGAATCAGTATGTGTGTATGTTGGGTGCGGGGGTTGTGGTAAGGGGAAGGAGTAATGGCAAGAGATGAAGTTGGAGAGGAAAACAGGGGCCACATTATGAAGGGCCAGTGAGAGCAACAGGGAATTTATGAAAAGTTTTATGTAACGGAATGACAAAATGAAGTCTGCCTTTAAGGTAAATTATACTTGCTGTTTTACAGAAAATAGAGCAGGACAGGAGAGGAATCAGGAAAACCAGTTAAAAGGCCACTAGAATACCGGATGAAAGCCTGAATTAAGGTAATGGCTGTGAGAATGGAGAAAACTGGATGAAGATACTAAAAATGTAAACTAAGAAAACTTGGTGACTGATTGGATATAGAGGGAAGGGTCAGACAGGATTCAAGGATGATATGCAGATTTCTATTTGGGTAGATAGATAGGAAACATCCGGAAGGACAAGTAGTTTTGGTTGGGCAGGGGACAGAAAAACTGTTTAATTTAGGACTCACTGAAATTGAGATGCTTAGGGCCGGCCCGGTGGCGCACTGCTACAGTGTGCCACTTGGGAGTGCGGTGGCGCTCCCGCCGAGGGTTCGGATCCCACATATAGACCGGTTCCCGCTCACTGGCTGAGCGAGGTGTGGGAGCAACGCCGAGGGTTGCGATCCCGTTGCCGGTCCCGGTCTGGTACGGGCGCGACACTGAGGGTTGCGATCCGTTGCCGGACACGAAAAAGGACAAAAAGGAAAAAAAAAAAAAAAAAGAAATTGAGATGCTTATGGGAAATAAAAGTAGAGATAATCAGCAGGCAGGTGTATGTTGCATATACAGATCTAGAACGCCATAGAGAGAGCTGAGCTGGAAAGAAATGAGAAGCAGGTGGGAACTGAGTGAAGACATGGAGGCAGATAATACTGCCCAGGTGAATATATAAGACAGATGAAGGCCAAGAGTGGAATGCTGAGGAGCACCAACATTTAAAGCATAAGCAGAAAAAGAGAAGCTTCAAAGGGGACCTGAATATAAATTGCATGAGGGTAGGATCATAGGCCTGTTTTGTCACTACCATATCCCCAGCACCTTTGAAACAGTGCCTGGCACACAGTTGGCACTCAGTAAATATTGTTGGTTGAATGAAAGAAAAAAGAAAGAGTAGTCAAAAATGTAGGAGGAAAACGAGGTGAGTTGGAACCAAGGAAGTAAGCATTTCAAGAAGGTTGTGGTCAGAAGTGTCAAATGCTAAAAACAAATCAAATACATAAACCAGATTTAGGGTCTAGTCACAAAAGATGGAGCTCACCAGTTGTTCCTCGGGATTAACTCCTGGTTCACAGAGGGCCAAGGGCCTTTCCTGTTCATCTTCAGGTAAGGATCCATTGAGCAGTAAGGCCTGAATGACCACAAACGCAGAAAGAAACTTAACTCCCCATAAGATGATTTAGTCTAGAGTTGGGTTTGGTAAACTCATCCCAAATTGAAATCACAACCCAGCTTCTTCTAGAAATCTCCTTAGTAATTTTTGTTCCCTAGAGACTTCTAGTTGCTCCTCTTGGAACTAGTTCCATTGGTCAGGCTCATGCTCTAGGCCTCCTTCATTTCCCCGGACAACTGAATCCTCTGCTTCAAGGCCCCTTGGCACCAGAAGAAAATCTAAGAACAAACCATCCTTTCAGAAGTGACAGAAGACATTTCAAAAGAGCTGCTCAAACTGAATTTTACCAGCTGGAAAGTGATCTAAAAGCACTGTAGAATTATCTTGGCTTAGAAAAGTTTATTATAATTAATTCTTTGGAATACATTTAGAGCACTGACTTGGGTCTGTTTCGTTTTTGTTCGTTTGTTTCTTTTGGGGTTTTTTGTTTTGTTTTTGGCAGCTGACCAGTACAGGGATCTGAACCCTTGAACTTGGTGTTATAAGGCTGCACTCTAACCAACTGAGCTAACTAATAATTCTGCATTTTTTACTCCTTTAAGGCAACCTATATAAAACAAGAAGGAAGACACATTTTAAGAAGAGGCGTCTTCATTCATTTCAACTCCCCACACCAGGCTCCGTTTTCATTACAATATTAGTGGGTTAAGTGGACAGGCAGATTTACCCTGAAGCTAAGAAAGTTCCAGCCCCCTGCATGCACTGCCTGTAATATCTAATATTCATAATTTTGTAATCTTAAAGAAAGCCTCCCCAAATTGTATACTTTAGGACTACTAAAACTTGGATCCACCCCTACGCTGCAGGTAGGTCTTATGACACCTATTAGATCAATGAAAGGTTGAACAATGTGTCCCTATTTTATATCGCAATTCTGTTTCAATTCAATTCAAAAGAGTTACAGAAGTTAAATCCTGCTTCAATAAACATAACACAAATTCATCACAAATATTGGTAAAGAACATTTTAAAATTCAGCCAAAGGTTGATCTACCAAACACTAATTATAAAAATTTAGTAAATCAAATGAATTTATTTATCCCATGGAGTCATGGTGAGAGGTATAAACATGTGTAAGAAGCCTTAGGGCTGCAGGGAGCCAAAGGAGAACATTACAGAAATATCAAATTGTTCATGTTAATGCCTCTAACTAAGGCATGTTAATAAGTCAGAAATCCTGGATGTGGCTTAGCATGCAATTTGTTCATCACTGAAAGAGTTAAGAAGCTCAGTGGATGCTGTGAGCTCTTTTGTATTCCACAATGGAACTGAATTTTCATTGTGATCATGTGGCTGTGAATTAAAACTCCTCTGTTTGCAGAGAATATTAAGATGCTGACTTTCTGCCAGTCAATTCTCTTTTTTTCTGTCTATTCTGCCATCGCATTTCTCACAGACTAAGAAATGCAAACCAAACTGAGAGCCAAATGGATGAATATCTATGTTCATATAATGCAAATTATACTGAGAAAAACCTGGTTGGGTATAATCCCAAAGTTCTCCATGGAATACTTCCTTTTAACAAAGCATAAAAAAAAATCCATTAAGGTATTCTTTAATGGAGTGGCAAAAAAGAAAACCAACAACTTTCTTTAGGAATGTTTAGGCAGGAAACATTCTTCCAACCCTTCTCAGTTCCTGGGGCATACATTATGCAAATTGTTTTATCGCAACACCAATCTCCTTTTCTTCTTTAGGAACCTTTGTGTCCCCACCCTGGTGATGGCTGGTTAGGAGCACGCCCTCCACCGCCTGCCGGCTGCCACAGCCACACACATAATATGGGCTTTGTTTACGTGTCCATAAATATTTGACAATTCAGAAGCAGTGCAGTTCCCAGCACAAACAGAAAGAAATATTCCTAGGCAATTTCAGGGTCATCAGCACACTACAAGGCCTCCCCCAAACAGAGACAGATGCACAAAGACAGAGGATTGAGGGGGTCATTTTGGTGGGAACTATGTCAAGTGGGTCAGTCAGTCTCTGGGAGAATTTGCCGAGCTGCCGCTGCAGGTATAGGAAAAACCGAAGGCCCTTGTTGCTGAAGGAAAACCTATTCTACCTGATCATTATGTTTTGGCATCCACTGCAAATGCATTAGAAATGAGCTACATCTTAGCTAGACTCAAATAGAAACTTTGCAGCATTATTGGCTCTTACAGCCTTCCTGCTGGAGAATTCCTAGGAGAAAATCCCTGACTAATTCACAGTGCCATTCCTGGTGAAAGCTGCAGTTGCAGGTCTGTAGCTGTGCAAAGGGCAGATGCCCACCTGTGAAGCAGACTCAATAAGGGCTTGGTAGGGATTGGTAACGGCTCCTTGCCTTGTGGAAATCCTAACAGCTGTGCTATAAACAATAGTCCATAAAGTCCATTTAAAGTACTCACATATAAATTTTTCTGCTCTTTGTGTACTACTCCTTCTATCTAAACTCCCCATTCAACTCTGACCTCATGCAAATCTAAAATCAGTTTATTTTCAGTTGATACTAGTTACTTAAAGATAATGGCACCAAGGAAAAACCACAAGGGAAAGACCTACCTGTAGTCCTGATATCATTTTCTTCGCTTCCTCCATTTCTTTTTCTAAATGTTCTTGTTGTTCCAACAGCTGTTCTTCCCATGAGGTCTCCAGATAGGTTCCGGGACTCCCTGGCTGCCAGTCTCGGGATAGTGGAGAGTCCGTCTCCTCTACAAAGTGAAAGGAGGGAGTATAGTTCATGTTGAAGAAAACTGGTTTCCGGCAGAAAGCTTTCACAGGTTCACATCACCTGCCTTCTGAACCTGTCCTCACAGCACAAACTGGACTCTCCACCAGGTGGGGTTGTGAGACATAAAGAATTGGCTGTTAACTTGGGCTCCAGGCTCACAGAAGCATCACTTACCCGGGGAAATCTATCCTCTTTAAAACCCTTAGGAAGCAATAAGACTCCCTCCATGGAAGTCTTGGTATGGGACGCATAGATTTTACGCTTAATTCTCTAGAATTGGCATTCCAAGAGCCTGATTTTGCCAGGTACTAAGAGAGGAGCTGTCAGATACAACGAAAACAAAATTCCTGTTGGTCACTCTGGAGCTTTAGATGGAACATCTTGATTCGATATTCCTTTGACCATTCAGTCATAACTGAACCCTTTTCACATAAAACATTGTGTGAGGCACATAGAAAATAAACCAGTGAAAGCATACTTGCACAAACTCTTTAATATCTCTCCCTGGTTTTCTTTTATTTTCCTGCCCTTAGGGTCTCTTGGTTCTGGTTTCCTCATCTACCTATTTTATCCTATCTGACTGTATGCACAGCCATTTTATTTTATTTTATTTATTTATTTTTGTCCTTTTTGAGACCGGCCGCACCGCGCTCAGCCAGTGAGCGCTGTGAGAGCAGCAGTCATCCCTATATAGGATCCAAACCCGCGGCGGGAGCGCTGCTGTGCTCCCAGCGCCGCACTCTCCCGAGTGCGCCACGGGCTTGGCCCTCCACAGCCATTTTAAATGTCTTACAGACTACAGAAGGGTATAAACTCTATGAGTAAGTTTCTTCATTCATAAGACCAGTATAATAATCTCTCTGGGTTGTTGTGAAGATTAAATGAGGTAATTTATGTGCAGGGCCTGGTGGTGACTGGCCTAGAGCAGGCATTCAATAAATGTTCTCCCTTTCCCTTGCCAAGGCCCTAGCAGTTTCTGACTCAGTACCATGACTGACTTTTTGGTACTAATGCCAAGCATAGAGGGGGAGCAGAGTAAGGAAGAAGTTAATTCCAGTTTTTCTTCAGAGGGCTTCAATTTCATTATAACCCTATGGGTGAGTAAAATTCTATCTAAAGCTCGTGCTTTGCTTCTTCCATGCTTCCCTCTATGTTTATTTAAGAAGACGGAGAGCAACTGAGACAGAGTAAATAGAAGTCTAAACAAAGGAAAGTCTTTGTGTTCCTTTCTGTAGCCCTCATACCAAGACTGATGTAGACCTGCTCTCTATTGTATGTTCTCACACATACCTCAGCTCATATTATATGTTCCTGGCCCCAATTTAAATTAGGTAAGTATTGAAATTATTTGTATAAGGCAGAGATGATAAAAATTGTTTACTCGAGTAAGACTTCTGACTGTCCCAAAGTCACTTCCTAATTCACAGGCAGCAGGCTGAGGAAGGGCCTGTCTATGCTGCTGCAAGGTTTTTGACAGCTAGGACATCAGAAATGACATTCTTTAAGAAGATAACCACACTAATTGACTCAAAGGCATTAGGGCCCTCTAGAGCTGACCACAGAGAGGGAGAAGGCCAGGGAGCTTATAAGGCTGAGGAAGGGCCTGTCTATGCTGCTGCAAGGTTTTTGACAGCTAGGACATCAGAAATGACATTCTTTAAGAAGATAACCACACTAATTGGCTCAAAGGCATTAGGGCCCTCTAGAGCTGACCACAGAGAGGGAGAAGGCCAGGGAGCTTATAAGTAGACAGGAAGGACCTCCAAACTCTTCAAGCTGAAGGCTGTTCCCTGAGCCAACTCAGGCAGGCTGAGAGATAGTACCTGTTCTGTTCTCTATTCCCTCAGAGGGAATAATCACAAAATCTGCTTTTTCCTCCGACTGGGTTATAATGGATTCACTCTTTGCACTGTGGATTGGACTGGGTGAAGTCAGGCTGCGATCAAAGAAAAAGGAAAAGAAACAATTATTATGAACAGTTGTTTAGAAGCCAAATTTCCTAATTTATCCTAGAAACTTGTTCTTATTCATCTTACTCCTGATGCATAACACAGTGCCTGGCCAACAGTAAAAACAAATATTTGTTCAATGAATAAATGAAATGAATGTTGAATGAATGAATGACCCTGTCCTAGGACATCTTTTCTACAAAAAGGATGCCTTTAAGCCTAATTCATTAAGAGACTTACCAAAAAGATGGATAATTTCCATTTAAAGAACTTCACGTTTTGTGTTTTTTTTTTTTTACCTCCCCAACACCATCCCAAACCTGTTTGTTTTCTTTTTACCTCCACCACCACCATCCCCAAACCTGTCAGAGACTGATGCCAGTATATGTCTTAGTAGCTTCTGGAGATGAAAGGAAATCCTATTTCCAATTTATTGATCTCTCATAGACACAAGCAATATCAGCAGACCAGCTCTGGGCTGATCCCAAAGGAGTGGACATGGTGAGGGTGGTTCAGGGGGAGAAACTGCGGGAATGTATACAGTTCCAGTCTCGGCAGAGGGGCAGTGATATACCAAGAGTTGGGTTCGAACATGGTAAGACGGGCAATATGTCGAAAGGAAAGACCTGCTAGGGGATGGTGGAGTAAGGTTTACTTGATTTAATCCCATCACAGTTATTTGCATCGCTGCCACAATATTTCAAATTGTCATCAAAAACCTCTCAACGATTTTTTTAAAGTGGGCATGATTGCGTTCTAATAAAACTTTATTTATGGACACTAAAGTCAAATTTCATAAAAATTTTTTATGTCATAAAATATTCTTTTTTATTTTTTCAACAATTTAAAAACATAAACATTCTTAGCTCATGGGCCACACAAAAACAGGTGGTGAGCCAGATTTGGCCTGCGGGATGTAGCTTACTGACCTCTGATACAGATCATCTTTCCCAAACTTGTTTTCATGCTTAACATTACACTCAACAAGGAGATTCATATTACTGCTTGTCTTGAATCTCTTTTAGAAGTGTCAAAGAACAAAATTACAACAAATTTAGTTGAAGACCTCAATTGGCTTTATTGCAATCCTAGAATCGGGCGACACGTTATTCCATGAAATAGAATAAGTGTCCCCCCTTAACAATTCTTAAGTTCTTTTATAACTGCTAGCCTTGGAAGGAACTGTTCGGATTTTCAGGGAAAAGCAATTTTAAATCTCCGGAACAACAGCAAGTCTACAAGACAAGATGGGAATGTGAGGCTGATGCTTCCATCTGAGAGGGAAAAAGGAGTCTAGAAAGCCATTTCTCTTCGCACCCCACCTTGAGAACATCAGCACTGAAACAATCTCAGGGGCTATGGAGTCTGCAGGCCCAGCCCCCTCTCAGGAATTCTTTCTAAATTCATCACCCAGACAACAGTGAGTGTCTAGGATTCACTGACCCACTTAATGTGCCCCTGAGGTCTCCCAGGCTAATCCTCACAACCACCATCAGGAGTTAACATTTTGCCTTCTTAGAAACCAGTAAAAAACAAGAGCCAAGCACACATTTCAAAACCTGTTAAGCAGCCTGAGGGCTAGTGTCTCATCCTCCTCGTTGTCCAGAGTTTAAGGGTTTTGGTGGGAATGACCTCAACCGGTAATGCTTCTCTTCCTTCTTAGAACCACAGAAAACATTTTAAAGTTTTTTTGCTATTTCAGATTAAACAAAGTTGCTTACCATATCTGTAGATCTACAACATTAACAAGCAAGAGGGGTGAAGGGTAGGAAGTGGCAAGAAGTCGTAATCAGAAATGGTGATTGCTTTCTAGAACCCTCTTATCCATCTTTCACAATTTAGGCAATCTGACTTCCAGGACAACATGAATTAGCTGCTGGAAAAGCTCTCATCTAAAGGTACTACGCCATTCATAAGGAGAAAAGATTTATGACTGCTCAGGCCTCAGCATTTACCTTCTTAGAGAAATGGGAATCCAAATGCAGAAAGAGGCCTGTCACAGCTGCTCCTCTCTGAGAAATAATAAAATAACACTTTCTCAACTGACAAGGTGCTGTGGATGACATGTTCCCACCGCCTGCACTTCGCTGGACCACAGTGGGTATGTGCTAGACAAAAGGGGGTGCGGGGTGTGGTGTGAACCTAGGATGCTGGAAAACTGCTTTCCTAAAACCACAGACGCATGCTCAGCTCCACCTTCTGCCTCCTAAGTGAGTTGTCTCCCATAAAAGGACAGAAGGAGGCGGATGTCTGGATATCCAGCCCTGCTGGGGGAGTGGCAGAGCAGCCAAAGAAAAACAACATTTCTCTTTCTTGAATTGAGGCTGCCAATGTGAGCACAGACACAGAGAGGTACGACCACGAAACTAGGTGGCCAAGTCAAAAGAAAAAGGACCCGAGGGAAGGAAATCCTGAGGCACCTGCTGCCTCCCTAAGAAGCACCTCACAGATGAGGAGGTGCATTAAATCCTCTGCCTCAGGTCAGAGAAAAGTATTTTAATGCTAATTATATGACTCAGGCTTCTCCCCGATTAGCTTAAAAGTCCTATTATGAACAAATAACCCCCCTACTTGCCATGATAAACCTCTCTGAAGTCAGGGAATGACTGATTACAAATCAGGTCCAGCAGGTCTGACTGATACATTTCTTAATTCCCATAGGTCCAATATCTCTCCAATCTTAACTTACCCGACAAGCATCCCCCAGCGAAGATACTTCTAAATTAGACTCAAATCAATCTTTTTTAAATGGGTAATGAGCGATAAGGAAGAGTCCTGTCCCCTCCTGAAGTGCTCTCCCTTAGCAGAGACACCGACAGGGTAAAGGGCCACTACTCCTTCCTCAAACCCACCGTATTTTATAGTGACGATCCCAGGCTCGCAGCCTGTCCTCCCCAGGATAACGCCCCCACCCGTCCCCGTCTGTCTCTGGAAAACAGCATTCTCCCGTCCTGGCCCTGCTCCCACCCTTGCCCCCTACTTTCAAAGCCGAAGTGGCCTCAGCTCACCATTTGACTTGCGTCCCTCCCATGGTCCCCTCCTGGCTCCGGCTTCAGCAAGCCTGTTTCCCTGGGTGAAATGGGAGGCTGACAGTCACATCGCTCCCAAATTCGGGCATGCCTCCCCGCGCCGGGGGCCGAAGAACGACTCCACGGGCAGGCCAACTAGCAGAGCTGCTCGCCCGATCGCGGAAGAAAGTAGGAAGGGCAGAGGCAGGCGTCTGGGCCGCAGAGACTGGGAAGCTCCCGGGTGCGAAGCGCGCTGTCCCGGCAGCTCAAACCCTGCCGCAGCCCGGCCTCGGCGGAAGCCGCCTCCCTTCGCGGGCTGCCGGTCCCCGGCCCTTGCATCTCGGTCTCCACGGTCGCGCGGCTGCGGGCATCCCCCCGGGAGAAGGCATCTCAACCCATCTGCGACCGGGAGGCAGGCTCCCGGCGGCTCCGGCTGCGCGTCGAGACCCCGGCGGCGAGCGTGCGGTGATCCCGCTCCACGCCGCCGCCCCGGTCCCTCCCTTCCTCCCCTCCCCGCCCTTCCCAGGCTGTCACCCGCGGCAAGGCGGCGCTGGGCTCGGACCCAAGCCTGCGCTCGTTCGGCCGGCCGACCGCGCTGGGC